GGCCTCCAACCTAATAGCGATGGCCTCCACCTAGTAGCTTCTTGCTACAAGTAGCTTCGTCTTGCCCAATCCCCCAATCCTCCCATCCGAGCTGCCGGGCCAGTGCTTGTGGTCTCCACTCACGCGGCTCGCGCGTCAACACACGACGCCACTGCAGCCCGGCCTCGCGCGCACGTCGCGGCTGTCATGGAAGCGACCTTGGGGGGAACAGCCTGTTCCAAGGATCGGTACTGCCTGTTCCAAGGGTTCCAAAGGTGACCTCGGTGACAGAGCTCCTGGTGAGTCCGTGCCACGGGCTTTTCATGGAAAGTTGGCCCCAAAAAGTCGCCCAAAGATCACCGACGGTGAGAACTGCAAGCTGTCCGCGTCCTGTGGCGGCCGTCCTTTGCAGTCCTCGCAGTCCTCTTTTAAATAAGGAAGATGTGGCGGCCGTCCGTCGCAGTCTGCTCTTGCCAAGAGAGAGAACCTTCGGACCCCGACCGGAACCTCCGGACCCGGTGGAGGAACGTCTGGTGAATACGGATGGAACGACCAGACCGGGGCGGTCCAGCGCGGGCGTCTGTCTCCGACTCTCGGAGCAGTGGCATGACCAACGGTCGACGTTTCGAAAAAGAGCGGGACGTCCCAGAAACCGCACGGCGCAGCAGTGGAGCAGTGGAATGACCAAAGCTGAAACAAAAGGTTCGAAGCGGACCTTGGCCTTGACCCCAACTGACCACTCCCGGCGCAAGGCCAGCTCGCTTCCTCGCGTTCTCGGCTACCACACAGGTCTCACCACAGAACACACCACGCGGGGCCTAGAGGCTCTACACCATCAGCTCGACACCACGCCTTCACCATCAGTTCTTCGGCACCCGACGACAGCACCTGAGCTCCACGTTCTTCCGGGTCGATGTGTGTGGGGCCCCCCCAATGGACTCATCACGAGTCGGACCAGAAAAAACACGGGGGGTTCTCTAGAGGAAATTCGAGTGGAAAACCACTGGTTCTAGAGGAAAACAAACCAAAAAGAAACGGGAAACAATACGAGGAAGCCATTCTCATCCGAGTTTTCGGGGGTCTAGTTACTTCCCTCCAATGGAAACTCCGGACCTGGCGCTGGTTGGTCGGGTCCGGGCCCGGCAGCAAGGCACCACCGTTCCAATCGATGGGCAGCATGGGGGTGTTCGAGGGAAACAGCAGCTTACCCAAGGTCTTATTCAATTCAGGTGGTTTTCAACTGGACCAACCCCTTCGTCGCGACCACCTGTGGCCGCGAACACGCTCCCCAAGTTCTGAACCCCCCACATCCTTCGCCCCTCCAGGAAAAAAGAGAAGAAAAGAGAAGAAACGCCTCCCAATCAAGGGGACTCTCGCGACAACCTCATGTGGAGTCCATGTCCATGGTCTCCACACCACCCGGTTCGGGTCACCCCTGCTGGGAGCCGAGGCGGTGAAGGTCTGCATGCTGTTGGAGAGGTGTTGCGCGCCTCGGTCACGCGTCACGACGGAAGACGGTCGCGGAGTCCACACGCTTTCGGGTAGAGGTTTGAGGAGCCTAAAAGCCCCCGGCCGACCGCCACTCGCATGCCAAGGCGCTGAACTCCTCCATGCGCGACTGGCAGCCTGCCAAGATCGCCTGGCAGTCCCACTCACTTGCAGTGCACCCGACCGTCACAGCTCTCTGTCGGGCAGCCCGGACTCTGGGCGTGAGCCGCACCCGAGCGGGGGTCTACGAAGCGACGCCCGGACCTCTTCGGCTGGGGTCCGGCAGAGCATCTTGCCGAAGGCCCACAGCGCGTTGGCCAGGTCCTCCAAACGCCGCGGACGTGCAAGAGGGAGTGCAAAGCAAAGGGCTAAGGTTCCTCGGGAGGCCAGGTCCAGAGACTTTCACGGCAATCGATTTGTCGTGACTTGCATACCTCATATTCACAAGCTGTAACTCACTCTTAGGTCCAGGTGGTTGGTGATCTTCAGCCACCCAATCTGCGTCAAGCAAGCACAGCTGGACAAGTCAGCACGGAAAACCATGTTCTCGCCTCCGACCCGGCCCAAAAAAACCCTTGTTCACGTCCTGAGCAGAGGCTTCAAGGGCAGCAGCAGCCAAGTGATGGCCGATCTGCCATGAAACGGTGGAGGGGTCGGTGCTTAAGGAGGTGTCGCTTGGCCCGACCAGCAGCACATCTTGAGCTCCAGAATCCCCCACGGTGACCAAGAGGAATCGACCCAACACATGGCCAGCTAATAACAAAAGCTCATGTGTGTAACTCATGTATCTACACAAAGCTGGCCAGGAGTTCCAAAGGATCAGTTCTGGAGCTCAGAGCTCACCTCCAACAACAACCCCCTTCACACTGTTGGCTCGCATGGCCAAGGCTTTCTTGTTCATGCTTTCAGGTGCCGCTCATCTGTAAGGCCTGGGCATCCAAAACCCCAATCATCCCAACATCAGCTATGCAGCCCGTCCGGCCATCTGCATCCATCGCTCCCGCGCTTTTCTCCTCACGAACCCCGCAGGAACCGCTCACGGTGAGACGGGTCATGGCTCGGCTCGGCCACGACCACGACGGGTCCCCGGACGGTCCGGACGGCTGAGGATGGTCGGAGCGTGTTCTTCTCGAAGAAAGCGGAGGGCGAGACGTGGACGCTCCCTCCCTGCCGAAGGAAGGCCAGCTGCGCTGCCCCCCCTCACGTTGCCCCAGAAGCTCAGCTCTTCATTTTCGAGTTCAGCATGGGCCAGCAAAAACCCGTAGGCATCTAAAGCTCTTGATCCTTCTTGCCCTGGGCAAACGCGTTTCGGGGGGGACGTGTGGGGGGTCGGTGACATCACCCCCCAAATTCGAGTTTGGTGTGGCATCTCTCGAGGGATCTGTGAAAATGCTGGATCCAAAAAATGCCCTGAAATGCCCTGAAAGCTCAGCCAGCCTTCATCCCCAGTTCCAACATCATCTTTCGCATCTTCTCCATACCTGCGCACAGAATGTCCGCGCGACACGCGACACGCGCGTTTCGAAGCACCTGCGTCTCACTAGTCTCACTAGGTCCGGTATGCTTTGACTGGATGTAACTGTCTACCACAAAGACCGCATGCCGCATGCATCATATGTATGACTGACCTCCTCAAAAACTACTTGTTTAGGCCAAGAATCGACCTGGGGTGTATCTCCCAAACCGCCCCCGTTCGCCGGTTCGGTCCGCCCCCGGGCCTCGGAAGGACAGGTCGCAGAGCTTCTGCTCGCCGCAGAAGTCTTCCACCTCCTCGCCCAAAGACACCGCCTCGGCCCGACGGGCCACACCGAGCCTTCAAGGGGAGCTCGACACTCGAAACCTCGCGGGAAACCGAGTGTCGCGGTGGAGCTCCCGAGCTTTGACCAGAACGCTGCGGTCGTCAAGTGGGCCCCCAAAGCCAGCGAAAGCGAAATCGGTGACGGTGAATTTCAGTCAGCGAGGTCACTCATACCTTCTAGTGCAGGCAACTAAATAACATAAAGAAAAACACACTTTTGCTTCACCAATTCCATGGTAGGCCTCCAGAAAAGAAAAAAAAAAGACATTCGCCCCGGCACTGAAAGGGTGGGAAAAGGCGAAAGGATTCTTCGCCCATTTCTTGAACACGGAACTTCCGATGACTTGCTTTCCATCATGAATCACTGTATATACCAGGAGACTCTGAGGATGCTTCTTAAAAGCATTCCCACGTCCATTCACTTCGGAGAGAAAAAAGGTTTAAAATGGACCAAAGACGCGCATCATCGAAAACGCCACATGCTAGGTTCGGGGGCGTCCTTGCTTGGTGGTTGGCTTGGTGGTTTACTCGCTCCCAGGGGCCCTTTTCAAGCAGGGCCGGCCGGGAGAAGGATCTCCTTCCCATGGACCTCATCTGACCAAGCTGCATCCATCATATCTCCCACGTTCTCCTTCACCACCCGATTGCAAACCATCAACACATCCTGCAGACAAATCCCGAAAAAAAAGAAGCAGTGAGCAGCTTTTTCAAAACTTTCGAGCGGGAGCTTTTGGGACCGTTGGCATGTCCACTCACTTCCCCCCTGCGTCGCTGGATCTGTCGTTGATGGACTTCCATTAGGTGGCTCTTATGAGTTTGCTAGTACAAGGGTATATGATGTACCCTGGGAGTCAAAGACTACAAAAAGAATGGTCTGACTAGGGGAGCTGAGGGAGGGAACTTCCTTTACCTTCAGTTGGTCAAAATTGAGTCGAACTGGACGGAACAGTGACCGTCGGGTGTATGTTTAGTAAATCACGAACCCGTTCCGCCACCCCCCAAATACCCAACCAGACCTCTTGAGTCGAAGAAAGAACACACACGTTCTGCCGGACCCATCCGCCTTCTCAATCACGTCCATCTGCCTCCGGCCACAACATGCAGGAGGGGTTTGGCGGGGCAGGTTCGGGGGGTTCGGGATGACCACAGCACATGGTGACCACAGCACTCAGGACGCGAGCGCTCCATCTCAACCTCCCATCGCCGCGGGTCTGATCTACATTCAGGTGCGCACAGGAAAACACTTAGATGGCCAACTCGAAAACACCAGGCACGGCACTGCAGCTTTCTGCTGATGGTCGACGCACAATGGACCAACACAGCCACACAGCAGTTTCTCACCCCTTCTTGCTCGTTCTATCCACCTCCACCACAACCACCATCGCCGGCAACATCGCCATCACCCACCATGGACTCCCACACCAAAGCTCAGGAAAACTCAGGTCGGAACCCATGGACTCTTCCCCTCTTCCCCCCCTGCTACTGGACTCGCTCGCTCCCCCGCAAGCGCCCCGTGGCCTGGCGATGGGCTTGGCCAAGTCGGAACAAAAGTCGATGAGAACTTCTTGGGTCTGGTCCTGCATGAAGCGACCCCAAACGACAGCGCCGAGCGTACGCGCCGACCTTTCCAACGCGCTGTCACCCCATCGAGTCGGGTCACCATCACAAACAGATGGAGGAGCAAAGAGAATGGCACCCCAAAGAATACAGTACCGTGCCTCCATCCAACTCAAGCATGCTCAAGAGGAAAAATCGGAAGGGATGAGTGAGGTCTTCAAACCGAGAGAGGTGTCCCAATGGGCCTTGTTTGGTGGCCTTGACCGGGAACACTGTCCCACCGAGACCGTCCACCAGTTCCGTCCGCGGTCCCGCGTGCCGCGCGGTCCGGTCGAAGCCGCGAAGCCCAAAACGAGACGAACACACAGGTCGTGGTGCCTTGGAGTCAATCAGTTGCAGTCGCTGCAATCAGTGAAAATGATTTGGGGGGGTCCTTGCTTCTGAATTGGGGCCAGGGAAACCCTTCTGTTCCTGAGGACAATCACAGCTGTTCGTCTGGAGAGAGATCGCAGACCTGCCACACCCAGCACCGCGCAGACCTGCTCCGTCGCTGCTGCGCACCCCCATCCCAACACGATCGCCTCGTGGCGAATCCACCGAGTGATCGACACCGGCTGGCTGTCCTGATCGAACCTCTCATGCAAGGGTTTCTTCTTGTTCAACCGATGCCTAAATGCCAGAAAGAAAGGCCAAAAGGACCCCGTCGGTTGGAGGAGTGGGTTTTTAGTGAATTGGGTCATGACGGTCAGCCATGGTGCTCATTTGTGTTGTTCGATTTTTCTGGTTGGTGCATATTCTGAATTTCAATTAAGCATAGAATATGTGTCTGGTGAGAGTGACATTGTCAGCACAAAGATGGGGTTCCCCCATGAATCGAGTCTGAGGGCTCCTGGCCCGCTGCGGCAATCGCGTGCATTGGTTTCGTCTTTTCTCGCGGGGCCCAAACAAACAGTCTGATGAGCCAACTAGTTGGCCCACCAACCAATCGGGGCCGACGGCGAAAAGCGCACGCCCAGTGACGTGTCGAGCACCGTCTTGGTGAGCAAGTTACAGAGCACACAGCTCAACCTCAGCGACAATCCGACAAGGGGTCCCAGGGGTCACAAGAGAGCGGAAGAGGGGTTGTATAAGAACCAAGGAAGGTCAACTGCCAGTCAACTGCGACTGACTAGTCTTAGTCAACTGAGATTTGTGTATATACCACTTACTTGGAGTGCAAATGACTCGACTTTGAGGCTTTAGAGGATTGCTACTGGTTCAGCTCTGCACCACCTTCCAAGCTTCATTCCATGCCCCAACGATCATCTCCCCTGAAATCAAACCTGGGTCCCCCAAGGGGGCGTTCGACCACTGACAAGGCGAACGAAGACGTGTTCTTTCTGGCTGCGGCTGTGGCTCTCTTTCGGGCACCGATCAGACCGAGACCGCCGGTCCGGATGGGTCAGTGCCAGACATGAGGAACCTGGCTTGAAAAGTGGCTTTTTCCCCCAAGTAGATAGATAAGCCCAAGAACATTCCCCAGCCTTTACTATGGCTGAAGACCCCTATAGCTTCGCTGTTGGGGAAAAAGGTTCAAGCACTGCCCTTTCAAAAGGGTATTGGAAAGCCATGCCAGTGTCTAGTTGGGAACCATTACAGTGTGTAGTATTTCAACTCTTTGCCACTGGCGGCGACCAAACGCGCCGGAGTGCTACACCTCTGTAAAGCTGCAGGTGTTGAACTCCGCCTTCCTTTCGGAATCTACACCTCTGGCTTTCCCATCCTCCCGTCTCGCGGATTCCGGTCCGGCATGCGTGCCGTTCCCCCGCATACTCGCAGGTCCAGGCGCGCGCGTCCCCGTTCAATGGCATCCTGGTCACTGGGCTGAAAGACCTCGGCTGCCTCGGGGGTTGGCGAGCGAGCCCTCCGGCTGGATCGGCGGGACCGACCCCGGCCCGCCAACCAAGCAAGCAACTCAGATTTTGATAGATTTTCCATAGCAGTCACAAAGGGGTGCTTAATGGAGGTTAGGGGTGCCCATTATCCACTCACTTAGGGACTAAACAGTACAGTATCAGAGATCTGTCTGGAGGGACTGATCTTTTTCTGACTTGGTGTCCAACATGAGTGACCTTCCCCTTGGTGACAAGCTTCTTTGGTTTCCCCTAAAGTGAAGGGTTCTGGCAAAGTTCTGGCGTTCCCAAGACCACCGTTGTCTTCTGGGCAATCCGTGTTTTCATCGAACTGAATGACAGGAAACATCTCTCTTCTTTGTGGACCTCTTCTTTTCGGGCATGTCGCCAGCAGCTGGTGCTTAACTCCCTTGCAAACCACCGCACCATGTACGACACCCGCGCCATTGTACCGCGCGTGTTTGCATCACCCCGCCCCAGCAGGGGAAGCTGCCAACGGTCGGTGAGGACACGCGGTGGGTTTGATCGGAGAACGTCGAGCAAACATGGCCGAACTCCACCACAATATCCCACAAAGAGAGTCCCCCAAAATCATCGCCTGCAGAGTGTAGGAGATCAGTGAGACACTTGCGTTGCATATGAACACCAACAAGGGCACGTCCCAAACCAGGACGTGTTTTTTCAAGGAAGAGGAGCCCTCCCCCCTCCCCCGTCCCCGTCCCCCGTCCCCACGCGGATGAAAGCACAAACAACTGCTCCGAAGGGCCCAGGCTTGATACTCCTCGTCCGGCACCTCCTCAGGCGGTTCCAGGCAGGTTCACACCGCAAAGAGTCCCATTCACAGGGTCGAAGAAGCAAACCCAAACCCAACGCTGCCCAACCCAAAGCCCACCCGGCAGCCACCGCCGCCCACCGCGGCGCACCGCGGTTCAAGACAAAGGCCTGCCGGGGCGCCGACGTCGTGTTCCGCGCGAGCAGCGAGAGGAGGAGCCACGTCCAAGCTCCCCAGACCCGCAGCGACGGCGCCGCGCCCATGGCCCCCAACGGATCGCCCGGTGCCGAGCAGTGCAGGGTCGAAAACAGCTCGGTGGGTGGTGAATCGGAGTTCAGACGTGGGGTGTGCCTGTGACTCCCTCTGCAACAAGGGTAGCGGGCCTGGAGACACAGCCAGACCCACTCATGTCGCCACTCAGTATGTCGACACTTATGTAGTGTATACCTTTGTTGGATGTTGGAAGAAGAAACCTCCTCATCTCGCGCGTTTCTTGGAAATCACAGGAAATCCTTATGGTCGAATATTTGAAAGCACGGCAGGGGCTGCATGGGGTCAATCACTCAACCAGAAGCCTGGCGGGTCAGCATTGAACAACTGTATCTCACACTGCTTTGAGCCTGACGTCAGAAAGGAGGCAGATGGTTTTGACTCAAGGGATACATCTCCTGAGGTGGTGTTCAACCTGAAGTCTGGTTGTGGTTCGGAGTTGATGACACAAATTTCACAAGAAATTGCTATGATTCCTCCTTGCAACTTGGCCCATGGCCTTCCAGGAAGATCAGGAAGCCAGGTTCCACCACCATCCCATCCTCATTCATCCTCTTGCTGAACCACTCTTCAGACTTCCTCCCCATCACCGCAGTGGCAGGCACCTTTAGTTGATTAAAACCAAGAAACACGCACAAAACACACACCCCACCCTCCCGGTCGCCCACCCCGGTTCCCCAAGCAGCGGCTCGAGCAAAGCGCCTGCTCGAGCAAAGCGCTCTGGCGGAGTTGCAGCCGTGCAAAGGCTCAAGCTGTGTTGGCCGAGGCCTCACGCTCTGCCGAGCCGGTCCGAGGCATGTTGCAGCGAAATACGGATGTGTGAGGGAGATCCCCTCACCCTGGCTGGAAAGGAGGGTCATCTGCGGCACGCATGCGGGATCATCTGCGGCACGCATCCAGGGATCATCTGCGGCACGCATTGGAGGATCATGATGCCTTTCACATCACCATTTATACACCATGGTCACGCAAACATCACATACTCTGTACAACGACCTTGGGGGGGGGGGGGGGGGGGATGAGGGGGCCAAGAATCACATACCTTGGAAATTCAGGGGAGGAAGTGGATGCAGGGACGGATAAAAGGCGGGGAAAAGGCCGATCTGGAACTCGGTGGTCCCTTTTTGGGTGAAGAATTCGTCGTGGAAACCGGCAGCAAACGGCCAACGTCTTTGAGGATGGATCTGCCGGGGGAAGCATCCAAAATCCATACCAACGGAGGGGCCCGGTATGGATGACACAGTATGGATGACACACACGGACCTCGGAGATCCCTTCTTCTAGACTGCACCAAAGAGAGGATCACCCTTTTTCGAGACCAACCAACATCTGGATGTTCCAATTCTGGTTGTGCGTCTCTTCCAGCAACGAACAAACAAATTCTGGCAAGGTGTTCTTGCTGGTTGGTTGTTTGAATGAACGAACCCTTAGTTTCCGGGGAAACAACTCGTTGTGTTACCCAAAGAACAACTGAGCTATAGGGAACCTGCAATCTACCTAATGAACCTTGATGACAAAGAAAAGTCAATCTGATTCATATCAAATCAGTTGCACCATTTCAGGACGTCATGGTCAAAAGTGAATCGCAAACTTGCTATCTCCTCAAATGAGAAACCCCCACCTGCATGCGCTGGGTTCTTCTCTATGCTCCCTTCTGCCAGTGCTTTGGGGCACCTGGTAGAGCCTGCATACAGCCTTCCCTTCCCCACTCCAACACTCCTGGTGCCAGCCTGCGAACTGAAGGAGGGCAACAACTCTTACAGCCTCCCCCCTCCCCCGGTCGGCGGGGAAAGACCCGATTGGACGGTGAAAAAGAAGGTCGACCAGAAGAGCACTCGGTCCAGGTGTGATGATCTGAATCGGACTATAATTTGCTTTTATAGTATATCATAATATAGTTAATATAGTGTGTATATATAGAGAGAGAGAGTAACTCTCTCTAGTGAAGACCTCCCAAGATGCTGGTGAGTGAATTCTTGGGCAGTTCCATTCCTTGCTCTCCAAGAGGAAGGATGCTTTCCACGGTATTCCACAGTTGCTTCGGTCCACGGTCCACGGACGCTTGCTTCGGTCCAAAGCATTGAGCAATTCCAGATCAGTCATCCTGCTTCTGGAACAGTACGAAGGTCATGGAAGATCAGTACTGTAGACTCTGTAAAAAGTGCCGGGCGGGCCTGAGACTGTGTGTTTTGACACCCACTGCCTGAGACCGTCCCAGAGAATGCCTAAAACTGTTTCTTTCCACTGTGGGTTGAAGCTGTTTCTGCACAGATGAACACAAATCTTCAGGAGCCAGAATGGTCCGACAAAAGCCCCACCCAAACTCACACAAGGAGTGAATTCCATATCCCAACACTAATATTCACAGCCACTTTCACTGTCCAAAACCCCATGCCTGTCTTGAAGCTGAGCACCTTCGTTGCCTGTGAACCGTCGACCGGTCCCTGTCCGGCTCGATTCTGTTCATAGAAATAACCAGGTGAGTGGTAGTAGTGGTAGTAGTGGTAGTAGT